TATTGAAAAATAAATCGAGTGAAATGAAGATGCCCTCAAGATCAGATTCCCACACGCCTGTATTTTTCACCGTTTTTCCAATTAATACTTCAGATAGATTATGTCTTAAGCAGTGGTCTTTTGAAAAAGTAAGTAGATATTCTGATAGCCCTGGAAATCCTCTATAACCCTGTATATTAACTTATTTTTTAACAACTATTAATTAAAAAAAAATTCGAGTGCTCAGTGAGCGTATTGTAGTTGACAAAAACCAAAAATCTATTTTTTCCCATTTTTTCGAAATTCTCTATCAATCTATATACTTTGGTCTTTCCTTGCCTTTATGTGCGGAAGAATAATCCAAGTATAAAGTGATAACCTCTTTCAGAAACCAAAAAAAATCGGTTGTTTTAGCAAGACTTTTTGTTTATTTCAGCGCTATTATTAGTGCAAAGGTGAATTGTAATTATAGATTCTGATAGAGCTTCAAATTCTCTATGAATCTATATACTTCTAAAAGTAAAAAAGCGAGAGGACTAGTGATGGTGAAAAATATAGGCGTTTGGCAATCTCATCCTGAAGGCATCTTCATTTCACTCAATTTATTTTTCAATACATGAAGTCAAGATAAAATCGAAATACACAGTTTTGTACAGAATTTCACGCGCTATCTAATGGTATATTCACTTTTCTCAAAACATCCTTTTATTGTATCAAAAGAGCTCAAATACTGAATCCAACTTTTGCTTTCCAGGGGTATAGATAATTAATTAGAGCGATCTGGCGCCAAACGAGCGTTTGTGGTTCGCGCTCAAGTCTATTTCTGTCGCATTTGGCGGAATAATTATAATTAGGACTTCTTTTCAATAAATATGCAAGAAATTCCGCGTTTTTTCATTATTTTGAGTAAAGCAAGCGCTCTACGTAGAATTTAAGGCATGGCAGCCATCTTGGATTTCTATTGGTTAGTGTACGAAACGAATAAAATAAATCTAGGTAGACACGAGCGCTCTATAAATAAATTGAAAGGATCGGAGCTGAGCATTTCAGTATAGTAAGAGAAAAATATTCTGAATCGAACTGCCGATTCAGATTTCCCACACCGGTTCGCGGGCTGGGGTCCCATATCCAATATGCGATCAGGAATGCTTCCAGCCCCTTGGGATTTTCAGAGGGTGTCCCGAAAACGCTTAAGCTTTATGTTACATTGTGCACTTTTTCCGTGGAATGAGAGAAGTTTACAACATTTCTCAACTATCCTGGGCGTGAACGCCGACCGAAAGGAAGCGTGAGCATTGTCTTGAATTCAGAAATACTTTTGGACCTCTGAGGTTCTTTGGAGAGTCTAGAGAAAACAAGATTTAGATTAGATTACGAAGCTTACAACTGAAATCAAAGAAAAATCATAACGTATTTTAGATAGTCCCCTAGCGAACACCTACCGAAGAGAGCTGTGAACGTTCTTTTGGATTCAAAGTAATGGAAGGTCGTTCCGTACATATAAGTTCCTAAAGTCAATGGACCGAGCGAGTGCAGACGAGCGTTATCTTGTGGAATAAGTCGACTATGGGGAATCAGAAAATGTTTATGAGCGATCTCCAGAATCGTTTCTATTGGTCGCAAATTCCAGCTCAGCTTGATTAGATGATAATGATATTGTTTTGACTGTGGGTTTTATCGAATTAAAATGCCTGAATGTTATGTATGTCCGCAGCCAGACAGACACACAAATTAGTAGCGGACAGACAGACACACATATTGTGTGTGTTGTGTGCAGGGTCTTTTGAGAAACGAAGGGAAACTGGTAAATTCTATTGAGGTATCCATAGGAATAATTTCTGGTGCGAAAGGATCAAGGTTCAAGGCGGAATCCTGGTGGACAAGCATAGTAGCTGCGATCATTTAATCGTAGATACGGCTCTTTTCTTTCGATATCCGATAAGAAATTAGTTTTGGTGTTGCCGATCTAATCTTATTATTGGTCTTCGAAATGAGAGAGATAGCGAGTGGTAAAGGAACTCGCAGACCGCCGATCAAGGCAGAAATGTGTGGTTCACGACAGAGTAGATATTTCCGGTTAGTAACCACGTGAGCAAGGGGAAGTATCATGACGGTGAAGTGTGTAACGAAAATAGCTCCAGCTCATGGTAAGTGATCATTAAGAAAAAACTGCTTCGGTCAAAAGAAAGTTCAGCCAGTTAAAGAATGCGCGTCGAAGCAAGAGCCGAAGGCGCGCAGCGAGACAAGCATTTCTTAAATTGTTGCGTACTGGTTCTTGTTTTATCAAGCTTTTAGCTGCATGCAGTAGTTTCCCATCGATTTCTCCTAGTCTCCTTCAGCTTTCCTTAGTTTCCTTTCAAAATCTCTAGTTTCCTTTTGTTTGATTGCACTTATCTTCGGTTTTCTTGCAGTTTCTCTTAGTTTCCCAGAGTGCCCATCAGTTTCCTAGCTATTTTCCGAAGTTTCCCAGCAGGTTTTCAGTAGCTTTCCATAGTTTTAGCTTGCGGCTGCTTCTTGAGAATGTTCTTCAGAAAGTAATGTGAACAAAAAAGATAATTATTTTATTCTATAGAAACAACTTTATATTGGCGATTCCTTTCCAGTCAAGGGATAAGTGAATCAGAATGATGAACGTTACTTGTTTTAAAAAAAGTTTGAATTAAATAAATGAATTAATTTAGAAAGATATCTGATTTTTATTAAAGTATTCAAATCATGGAAATATAGTGATGTATTATGGAGCTTTTATCAATAAATTGATTCCTGGAAGAAATGAACATGATTAATTAAAGGTTTTTTTGTTTTTTTTTATTTTAATGAGAAAAATAAAATTCTTTATTTTAAAGTTGGTTATGGAATATTGTGATGCTGGATCAATAACTTTTTTTAGTTAAATCAACAAAAGGAAATTCATTAAAAGAAGAATGAATATCATATATAAGTAAAAAAATTTTCAGTGGTTTAAATCATCTTCATTTAAGTAAAATAGTTCATCGAGATATCAAAGGACAACTGAGAAAATTTTATTTGAAATTTCTCTTGAAAATAAAAGATTATTTTTAATTGAAGAATGTTTTATTAACTGAAAATGTTCAAGTTAAATTAGTTGATTTTGGTGTGTTATCTCAACTTGATCAAACTATTTAAAGAAGAAATACTTTTATTGGAATACCTTATTAATATGAAATTATTCATTGAGATTTAAAACCTTAAAATATTGTTGTTCGATCTGATTGTACATTAAAATTTCTTGATTTTGGTTTAGCTGGAACTGTTGGAACATCATTTAGGATGACTTCATATGTTGTGACCAGATATTATAGAGCACCTGAAGTTATTCTTGACATGGGTTATAAAGAAAATGGTTTCGTCTTATTTCATTTTATTTCAATATATCAATAAGATTTTCTTTTCATAGTTGATATATGGTCTGTTGGATGTATTTTTGGAGAAATGATTCGTGGTCAAGTTTTTTTTCCTAGATCAGATCGTATGTTTAATTATTTATCGAAATAAAACAAAATTCTTTTTTTGTTCTTTTCTTCGAAAGATATTGATCAATGGAATAAAATAATTGAACAATTAGGAACACCATCAAGAGAATTTTCATCTCGTTTACAACCAACTGTTAGAAATTATGTTGAAAATCGACCAAAATGTTCTGGTTATTCACTTGAACGATTATTTCCAGATCAATTATTTTTACCAGATTCTGAACAAAGGAAATTAACAGGTTTATCTTCTTTTTTTTCCTCTTCGAACTAATCTCTTTGTTCATACAGCTTTATTAGCTCGTGATCTTCTCGGTCGAATGTTAGTTATTGATCCTGAAAAACGAATGTCTGTTGACGAAGCTCTTAATCATCCATATATTAATGTTTGGTATGAAGATTCCGAAGTCAGTGCTGTAAGTTGAATATTTCTTTCAAATACAAAAAAACACGTGTCATTAATTGTTAGCCTGAGCCAGGACAATATAATCATTTAGTTGAGGAAAGAGAATATACTGTTGAACAATGGAAAGAATTAATATTTCATGAAGTTATTCAATATGAATTAGATCAAATTAAAAAATATTCAGATGGAGATAAACAATCAATTGATCAACCTATGGAATAAATATTCTTTATTTATGAATAACTAAAATTTTGCATCTGTATTCTTCGTTAAATGTTCGATTTATTTTGTGTTGATGATAATCGAGACTATCTTTTAAGTAAATATTTTATTGAGAAAAATCTCCTTTTTCAATCACAATTATTTATCAACTGAATATATTTTCAAAGAGAATATTATAGTTATTCATATCAAACCAATGAACTACATGATTTTGATAGTCAATCTATTTTCAAATAATCGATATATGATTTCGATGATTAATAAAGAAAAACTTTATGTTCAAGAATATAAAAACGAAAGAATGCCGTAATTATAAAGATGTTTTTCAATACAATTTCATGTATATTAACATAAATGAATCTTATTTTTTTTAATCTGTTTCAAGTAGCTTGTTTTCACATAAAATTTGAATTGATTATACAGATGATAGAGAGAATGTAAGGTAGAATTCCAAACTATGCAAAAAAAAGATTCGTTTGAATTTCGAGTTTCTTTATAATGAATGATGAATGAGATTATTGTTTATTCGGAGAGATACATTAGAACACACACGACATTTAAAGACAGAAAAAAATTGTTTATTGCCACCAGATATGTACAGAGTGGTAAATAATATTATTCAAGGGGGGTAACGCTATAATTCTAAATCGGAGATATGATGAATTTTATACCGAATGAAAACCCGTGAAAAATGGGATTTAGTGATGCTAAATAGTAAGACTTTGAAGGACTTTCGTGCATTGAATTATCAAAAGTTACAACTTCTTATCGACACAAAATATTATAAAATCAGTTCATCGAATCATGTTTGAACTAAATATGTTGCAGAATAATTTATTTTCTCATCACTTAATGAGTGCAATCAATACTTAGTATGGCGACCATTCGCGTTCTTTACTGCACGAATTCGTACTCACGAGAATTTAAACGCGTTTCGAATATCTTCTTCAGTAAATGCTCGTTTGTAGAATGATGGTTGATAGACAGAAAAGTAGCTGTTTATATAGGAATTTGTTCATGCAGACGGAAAAATAAGAGAGGAAAGAAATGTTTTATTTTTGATTGTTTATTGAAAGAGAGAGTGAAAAATTTTGTGAAATCCTTTATTAGAAGTGAAAGTTTTTGTTCAAAGAGAAATAGAAATTTGTAAGAATTTGCTGAATGTTAGGCTGAAATGTTTTGGAGTGCTTTTGTTTGGGTAGGAAGAAAAATCGTTCTTTATTATTTCGATCAGTATATAAACCTGATGATATTTTACTTTTTGACGAGCAGATGCATCTGTAGAGATTTGAACGTAAGAACATGCATTTGTAAAAAGAATAAAAATAAAAATAAAGTTTAACTTTAAACGTGAAAAACATGGTGGAGTATTACGGGTAAGTCGGTTTTCTTGGAAAATGAACTTTCAGTTGTGTTATGTATGAAATAATTAATTTACAGTTTTTGCAGGGGGTCCAATTTTGATCACGCAAGAAAATATTCTATGTTTTTGAGGGGGTCCTATTTGATCACGCATCTGATTACGTAGTCATATATGCACCCCATACTGTTTACATATCACGCAGTCAATGACAGGGGGTTAAATATATCACGTAGTCATATATGCACTATACTGTTTACATATCACGTAGTCAGAGGGGGGGGTTATACATATATCACGTCGTCATACATATGTCGCTTGGATTTGAGAAAGAAATTGTG